ACAGCTGGACCTGCAGCTCAGAGGGGACTGTCTCTGGCCACACATCCTGGCCTGGTCCCAGGTCCTGTGACTCTGATGCTCTGTAGCCTCCCTGCAGCACCTCACTCCCAGGAGGAGTCCCGTCTGTGGGAGGAGCCATCATGGACACACAGGACAGATTGATTAGTGTCCCCTCCAGTGAAGATGGTGCAAAAGTCAGTGCACAGTGTCTGATGTCACAGACCAGAGAAACCTTCGTCTGGTTACTGGGACTCACAGGGCTGCTCAGGGAATTTCCCGGGAACACACTCAGGGGCAAGGTCAAAGGAGGACTTTCCACCAGGCCTTTCAGGTCATGAGCTGCACGTGCAGGTTCACGGAGATCGGATGTGATGGACTCAGACACATCGTGGCTCCTCAGGCCTCACAGCGGCCAGCGGAAGGGGTCATGGCTCCTCCATTTCAGGAACTGACTGTTTATCATGTGTGTGGTGATCTGCATTTCTGGGTCCTGTGTTGCTTCTTAGGATTTTCTTCGGTGTCCTAACATTTGTTCATATTTTAAATAAGACTTTACCTACTGTACTTTCTGACTCGTCCTATTTTTGTGACAAATGTGAGATTGTGATGTGTGTATAGATGCAGTGAAATTGTGGGCGGTTGATTGTGTGTTGTCTCCTCAGGATGGATAGGAAACTGGTTGTGGTGCCAATTGGACGAGTGAAGGAGGGACAGGGAGTCCTATGCGTGGAGCTGTGAGCGACATGGGTGATATGTTGGAGCAGAATAAAGGCTAGACCAGCCCATATGCCCTCAGACAATCATTTGTCAGTTTCCTTCCCTCACATCACAGTGTGCAATCCTGTGTTCATTCACACAGAGAATCAAACCCTTTGTTTTTCCTTCATGAACTCCCCCCATCCCCCTGCCCAAGTCCTCTGTGGGACTTGGGGCTCAAGAAATGAATATTATCTTTTATTGTTCCCATGGTGGACCTTAAGCATGTGTGAGTGTCATGGGACACCCGGTGACCTGACAGACTGTACGTTCAGTCGAATGTGAGCAGTCGATTGTTGGCCTTGCGCTCGGCAGGTCATGTGCCCGAGGGGGGCGTCCTGGCTCCGCCCTGATTGTTGGCTCCTCACCCGCCTGCCCCTCCTGTCTGCTCTCCTGGACCCCACGAAATGGAGACTCGCAGGTGAGAGGCCTGGTCATGGATTCATTCGTTCTTTATCTCATGTGTGACCTCCTCCCCGAGAGAATAAAGGAGGATGGAGCGGGTCCATGGATGTGCATCGGGTAGGTTTTACCTGTTAAGTGTGCTCCTAGTTTGGCCAGAAATGGAGCGCACACTCTAGACGAGAGGAGATTGCACGTGACTGGGTCACAGCTCTCTGACCTCAGGTGAGTTTGTGTCACTGTTTGGTCTGACAGGTGGGAACCCAGAGGCACAGGGAGACGCCACATCGAGACTCCATCCAGCTGATGGGCATGAACAGGCCTGAAGGTTAAAGGCTGCCTAAAAGCTGAGAACATGGGCTTTTAACAAAGTGGTTCTCAAACTGGGGTGATTTGGCACCTTCAGGGGCTATTTGGAAATGTCAGGAGGTGTTTTTATGGGTCAGAACCTAGAGTAGAGGAGCTACTGCATCTTCTGTGTGGAGCCCACAGGAAGCTTCCAGATGCCCCGCATACGCAGAGCAGCCGCCTCCACTGGTCTCAGCCCCGCCCCATTGTCAGATGTGCGGAGGCCCAGAAACCCTGTTCTGAACCACCCCGCCCCCAGGGAGTGACTGCACAGGAAACAGGGCCCATCCATCAAGACACGGGGAGATCTGAGTGACAGAGAGGGGCTCAGAGCCTCCCGTCTCACACAGACGTTCCAGCAGGAGGCGGCAGAGAGCACCCCCCGTGGGGCAGGTGAAGGCAGCCCCAGGACCCAGGCTCTGGGGAGTTTTTGTCTCACTTCCTCCTGAGCCTGGAGCCCTGTGTTCTTATGGCTAGCCACCACCATAGGACTGACAGTAGTAGTCGGCCTCGTCCTCGGGCTGCAGCCCCGAGATGGTCAGCTGGGCGGCATTGGAGGAGCTGTCGATGGAGCCAGAGAACCGATCGGGGACCCCCGAGGGTCTTTGGTTATCTCTGTAGATCACCAAGGTGGGGGCCCTGCCCGGGCGCTGCTGGTACCAGTGCACATAGTTGTTCCCAATGCTGCCGCTGCTGCGGGTGCAGGAGATGACGGCCTTCTGTCCCGGAGACCCCGACACAGAGGGGGGCTGAGTCAGCACAAACTGGGCCCAGGAACCTGCAAGGAGGGGGCAACACAGACATCGGAGAGGGACAGCACAGACCCCTGGCCCAGGGAGGGAGGGAGAGGTCCTGCTCCCGGGTGACAAACAGGTGCCCCCCCTGACGCCCCTCAGGCACCACCTGTGCAGTGAGCCAGGAGGGCGAGGAGAAGGGGAGCCCAATCCATGGTGCACAGGCCCCCACACTCTGCTTCCTGAGCCGCACAGCCAGGCTGAGCCCTCACCTTCTTATGAGCCTGATCCCCAGGGGGAGGCGCCATGCAAATCTGCCCTGTCTGCAGGCCGCTCAGCTCCTCCTTCGCACTGGGCCTGGGTTCCCCCAGAGAGAAAAGCCTGTGATGGGCCTTATTCCCGCAGAAGACCTGCCTGAGGCTGGGGGCGGGGCGGGGCGGGGGCACCGCTGAGCTACTGGGGTGCAGCCAGCAGGGGCTTCTACCACAGCGCCCCCTGGGGGACACAGGGCGCAGGTCAGCCCTTGGGGAGTGAGAGGGAAGCAGGAGGAGGAGAGGGTGCAGGCCAGGGGCACACAGCTGGGCCCAGAGTGGACTCGGGCAGCCCCGCGCCCCCCTGGCCGCCTTGCCCAGGAAAGGGCTGGTCGTGGAGGTCTGGCCCCACTTCCTTCTGGCCGCCCCTCTCCCTGCAGAGACCCGGGCTGGGTGGTGCCCTGACATTCCCCCACGGGGCCTCCCTCAGCCCCTAGATGGCCTCCCGGCTCCTGCCCCTCCTGTCCCGGTCACGCTCTGGCCTTTTCCATGGCTCTGACTTCCTGTCCTCTGCCCTGGCCGCTGGCTGGTCACAGGGATTTAGAAGCCTGTGTGGCCAGAGCTGCCATCACTTCCATTGTGACTCAGGTTTGTGTGTGTTTGTTAATCCTCACCGGAGGGTATTTTCTCAATGATGTTTAGGGAGAGGGAGAGACAGAGAGAAACATCCATGTGAGAGAGACACGTCGACTGGTTGCCTCCTGCACGTGCCATGACCAGGGCCCACGCAGGGAGGAGCCTGCAATGGAGGTACATGCCCTTGACCTGAATCAAACCAGGGGCCCTTTGGTAGTAGCCTGATGTTCTACCCACTGAGCTAATCTGGCCAAGGCCTAATGTGAGTAATGTGAACACAGTCAGTGTGCTGTAGACACAGATACCCTATAGGGGAATAACTTAGTCAATAAATCAGAAGCAAGTGGAACGATGCTGGAGAAGTGAGCTGTTGCCTGAGAAACCCTCCATTTAGGATGGACAGGGAGTTAAAAGAGCAAATTCTTCCAGGCAATGTTACCTCTTCTTCTTTTTTTACATTAAATATTTCTTAATTTTTCACTGACAGCAGGAACTTGTCATTTTTCCCTGAAACCCTCCGTGAGGATGGAGTTAAGAGCTGAGGAGCCTGAGGGAGAGGAGGGGGGAGGGAGGCAGCAGCAGAGGAGGGAAGAGGGGGAGGGAGGGTGTCACTGAGAGTCTGTGCTGGTGGTGACCAAGCTTCTGTGGGTTTGATCAGAGAAGGAGAAGGTGGTGTCCATGACCAGGGTAGACACTAACATATCAGACAGGATGGGTCAGTAGTGACACAGGGTTCACACTCATGACATTAATCTGTGGGGAGCATGGCTGTCTGGGTGACCCTGTGCAGTTTCAGACACAGGATGTGAGCTGATAGGAAACATACGCTGGTCTTGGCCCCTGGCCCCGGCACAGGCTCCTGAAACCCTTATCATTCCGGGGGGACGGGCAGACCTTTTGCTCTGAAGAGGTGACTCTGCATGGGCTCCTGTGATTGACACCCAAGGGTAGACAGTCATCACCACGGGAGCCAGGGGTTTTGGTCTCACTTCCTCGTCATCTGAATCACTGTGACCATTGCTGCCATGATATGTAGCGCAGTAATAGTCAGCCTCGTCCTCAGGCTGCAGCCCCGAGATGGTCAGGAGCCCCGCATTGGCCGAGGCGTCTTTGGATCCAGAGAAGCGGCTGGGGACCCCGGAGCCCTGGTTCTTATCTGAGTCTGATTTATATTCCAGGAGGTACCGGGGAGGGCTCCCTGGCTTCTGCTGGTGCCAGGATATATAGTAGCTGCCAACACTGAAGCCACTGCTCAGGGTGCAGGTGAGTCTGGCTGTGGCTCCCGGAGATGCAGAGAGGGAGGGCGGCTGAGTCAGCACAGGCTGGGAGAGGGACCCTGCAGACACAGACACTTGTCAGTGACGGGCAGGGACCAGGGGACGTTTCCCAGGAGCCTGAGCAGGAAGGGAAGAAGCCGGGTCCCAGGCCTGTCCCTACCTGTGCAGTGAGAGAGGAGCGCGAGGAGCAGAGGAGTCCAGGCCATGGTGCTCACAGCCCTGAGCCCACAGTGGGGCTGGGCTGCCCAGGCCTCCTTTTCTCCCCACCCTCTGCCAGAGGAGGGGCTGCCATGCAAATAGGGGTCGCTCCAGGGACTGCCCAGCCCTTCCCTGGGCCCTGGAGGTGGAGCTCAGTGCACACCCCAGACTGAGGTGCATGGAGGTGGGCTCACCCCTTGGGGGGCCCTGGGAGGAAGCACCTGCTGAGATGCACATCACTGAGCACAGGGCCCAGCCACCGGCCCATGTTCCTGATGGTTAAGGTCCTTAATGTGCAGCTACATTGGGACCACAGGGGTCCCACAGTGCCCCTTGCTGGTGGCAGCACACACCTGCCCTTGGCCTTGAGCTGAGAGCCCAGCTGGACCTGCAGCTCAGAGGGGACTGCCTCTGGCCACACATCCTGGCCTGGTCCCAGGTCCTGTGACTCTGATGCTCTGTAGCCTCCCTGCAGCGCCTCACTCCCAGAAGGAGTCCCGTCTGTGGGAGGAGCCATCATGGACACACAGGACAGATTGATTGGTTTCCCCTCCAGTGAAGATGGTGCAAAAGTCAGTGCACAGTGACCCTCATGTCCGACGTCACAGCCCAGGGACACCTTCGTCTGGTTACTGGGACTCACAGGGCTGTTCAGGGAATTTCCTGGGAACACACTGAGGGGCAAGTTCAAAGGAGGACTTTCCACCAGGCCTTTCAAGTCATGAGCTGCATGTGCAGGTCCATGGAGATCGGATGCGATGGACTCAGACACATCATGGCTCCTCAGGCCTCACAGTGGCCAGTGGAAGGGGTCACAGCGCCTTCATTTCAGGAACTGACTGTTTATCACGTGTGCGCTGATCTGCATTTCTGTGTCCTGTGTTTCCTGTTAGGATTTTCTTAGTTGTCCTAAAAAGTTGTTTATATTTAAATAAAACTTTATCTACTGTACTTTCTGACTCATTGTCTTATTTTAGTGACAAATGTGAGATTGTGCTGTGTGTGTAGAAGTGGTGAATGTCTGGTCAGTTGAACGCAGAAACCCTCACATCCTCAGTGAATGGAAACCACAGCAGAAACTTGTCACTTTGCCATGAAACCCGCCCTTGAGGATGGAGTTAAGAGCTGAGGAGCCCGAGTGAGAGGAGGGGGTGAGGGAGGCAGCAGCAGAGGAGGAAAGAGGAGAAGGGAGGGTGTCACTGAGAGTCTGTGCTGGTTGTGACCAACCTTCTGTGGGTTTGATCAGAGAAGGTGAAGGTTGTGTCCATGACCAGGGTGGACACTAACATATCAGACAGGATGGGTCAGTAGTGACACAAGGTTCACACACATGACATTAATGTGTGGGGGAGCATGGCTGTCTGGGTGACCATGTGCAGGTGCAGACACAGGATGTGAGCTGATAGGAAACATACGCTGGTCTCGGCCCCTGGCCCCGGCACAGGCTCCTGAACCCTTGTCACTCCCTGGGGGACGGGCGGCCTTTGCTGATGAGGGGACGCTGGGTGGGCTCCTGGGTGAGGACCGGCTACTGGAGAGGCCGGGAGGATTAGAAGCTTGGAAGCCTCACACTTGTGCCCCATTCGCTTGAAGGGAGAGGGCTCAGGTGCTGTTAGCAAATTCATCAAACCCAAGGGAAGGGTCCTGGGAACCTTTGCTGTATCGCCAAGAGGTTGTGTGAAACCTGGGACCTCCCACCTGTGAGTGGCACCTTGTGGAACTGGCCCTTTAACTGTGGGTCCAACACCATCTACAGGCAGAGGCCTCCACAGAAGCTTCTTGCTAATGGAGGCTCAGAGCCACCACCTCGGGGCCCAGGGGTTTTGGTCTCACTTCCTCGTCATCTGGGACACTGTGTGTAATGAAAGCGCTCCCACTGCCATGTTCTACAGCACAGAAATACTCAGCCTCGTCCTCAGGCTGCAGCCCCGAGATGGTCAGGAGCCCCGCATTGGCCGAGGCGTCTTTGGATCCAGAGAAGCGGCTGGGGACCCCGGAACCCTGGTGCTTGTCAGAGTCTGATTTATATCTCAGGAGATATCGGGTAGGGCTCCCTGGGTTCTGCTGATACCAGATTATGTTATAGACGCCAACATTGGAGCCACCTTTCAAGGTGCAGGTGAGTGTGGCTGTGGCTCCCGGAGATGCAGAGAGGGAGGGCAGCTGAGTCAGCACAGGCTGGGAGAGGGACCCTGCAGACACAGACACTTGTCAGTGATGGGCAGGGACCAGGGGACGTTTCCCAGGAGCCTGAGCAGGAAGGGAAGATGCCTGGTTCCAGGCCTGTCCCTACCTGTGCAGTGAGAGAGGAGCGCGAGGAGCAGAGGAGTCCAGGCCATGGTGCTCACAGCCCTGAGCCCACAGTGGGGCTGGGCTGCCCAGGCCTCCTTTTCTCCCCCACCCTCTGCCAGAGGAGGGGCTGCCATGCAAATGGGGGTCCCTCCAGGGACTGCCCAGCCCCTCCCTGGGCCCTGGGGCTGGAGCTCAGCTCACACCCCAGACTGAGGAGCATGGAGGTGGCCTCACCCCTTGGGGGGCCCTGGGAGGAAGCACCTGCTGAGACAGCACATCACTGGGCACAAGGCCCAGCCACCGGCCCAGGTTCCTGATGGTTAAGGTCCTTAATGTGCACCTGCATTGGGACCACAGGGCGGTCCCACAGCGCCCCCTGCTGGTGGCAGCACACACCTGCACTTGGCCCAAAGCCCTGAGAGCCCAGCTGCACCTGCAGCTCAGAGGGGACTGTCTGACCACACATCCTGGCCCTGTCCCAGGTCCTGTGACTCTGATGCTCTGTAGCCTCCCTGCAGCGCCTCACTCCAAGGAGGAGTCCCGTCTGTGGGAGGAGCCATCATGGACACACAGGACAGATTGATTGGTTTCCCCTCCAGTGAAGATGGTGCAACAGTCAGTGCACAGTGACCCTCATGTCCGATGTCACAGCCCTGGGACACCTTCCTCTGGTTACTGGAACTCACAGGGCTGCTCAGGGAATTTCCCGGGAACACACTCAGGGGCAAGTTCAAAGAAGGACTTTCCACCAGACCTTTCATGTCCTGAGTTGCATGTGCAGATTCGTAGGGATCTGCCCGCAACCAAGGTACATGCCCCCGACGGGAATCGAACCTGGGACCCTCCAGTCTGCAGTCCAGCGCTCTATCCACTGAGCCAAACCGGTTAGAGCCAAAGGTAATTCTTTTACTAAAGGATGTATACGCCTGGGGTATGACTACCCACCACCAGGCGCTGAGTGAGGGATTTATGCTCAGATCACGCTGCGAGGTCACTTTTTCCCTCCACATTTCTCACATTTCTGGGTTTCACACTTCTTGGAGGCTTTTGTTGTGGGGCCACACCATGTTTCTTTGTGGCTGCTCCTCCTCCTACAGAAGATGTTGTCCCTGACAGACACCCTGACACCCTGACACCCTTACACCTGCCATGAGTCAGCCCATCCTGGGCAAAGGGTCCTAACAGATCACCATAATGACCACGTCTCATCCTGTTAGCACAGGCAGCCAGATATTCATAAAGGAGGGGAGCAGAGGGGAGCAGGCATCAAGTCTCATAAACCAACGAGCTGAAGGGGACAGTAAGCCGGCGTCACCAGGACGTGGCAGCAGTCGAAGGCTCCTCACGGGGCCGCTGCTTTAGGACCCAATCTCGGAAGCGGGCAGGAGGGTCCTTACAGGTTGTCGCCAGGGGAGACATAAAAACAGCGGGGGAAATGCCTCTGCCAGGCTCAGGCCCAGTCGAAACCAAGAGGGCACAGGCGAGGTGCTTCTGCTGGGAGGCATATCGGCAGTGAGCACAGAGGCCTGCCAGCTCTTCCCTGGGTTTATCTCTTTCCTTCCACCTTTTCCTGCTGTGTCATATCAAGCCAATTTAGATTACTTGTTCCAGAAGAATATGGCGGTGCCTTGGGACCCATGGATTGCATAATTCACTTCACTTTCTTTTTTAAAAAATATTTTTTAATTGATTTCGGGGAGGAAAGGAGAGGAAGAAAGAGAGCTAGAAACATCAATGATGAGAGAGAATCATGGATCCGCTGCCTCCTGCAGGCCCCCTACTGGGGGTCGAGCCCATAATCTGGGCACGTGCCCTGACCGGGAATGGAACAGTGACCTCCTGGTTCATAGGTGGATGCTCAAGCTCTGAGCCACGCCGGCCGGGCAGTTTCACTTTCGAAGTTGTAATTCCTTGGTCAGGAGTCTTATCTGATCCGTGAGGGACTCTTACCCGCTGTCCCTACTGATTCTTTTCTGGCCCTTTCACCTCTGTCCTTCTCCTCCTTGTCCCCTGTCATCGCTCCCTAATCCTCACCCAACCTGGCCACATCTTCTTACAGACCCTGTCTTTCCACGCAGGGAGCACCCCACTCTGCACCTCCAATCTCACCCTCATTCCCACACGCCGTCCGACCAGCTCTGCCCGCTGGAGGGCCAGGGTCTCAGGACATCAGAGAAGGGTTAAAGGTCCCGTGCCCAGGAGCCGGTCCTGATAGCACGCCCCACCTGCCCGAGGCTGATGATTAACCCAGAGCTCATATAAGGAGAGGGCCCCTCCTGGGCATGGGGACAGCACCGCCCGCAGCCATGGCCAGCACCGTGAGCCCCAGCACTGTGACCGGGACCCCGGGCCCCCCCGAGATGTCAGAGCGCATCCGAAACGCCGCCGACATCTCCGTCATTGTCATCTACTTCGTGGTGGTGATGGCTGTCGGGCTGTGGGTACGTAGGAGCCCAGAGGCGGTTTGGGGGGGTGCGCGTGGCTTGGGGTGAAACATCTAAGGGAGGGAAAAGTGACAAAGCTGAGAACATTCACAGCTGTCACCGATGTCATTGTCCTCCTCTCAGAATCACTTTCTTCTTCTTCTTTTTAAATATATCTTTATTGATTTCAGAGAGGAAGGGAGAGGGAGAGGGAGATAGAAACATCAATGAGGAGAGAGGATCATGGATCGGCTGCCTCCTGCACACCCCCTACTGGGGATCGAACCCGCAACCCAAGCACGTGCCCTTAACTGGAATTGAACCTGGGACCCTTCAGTCCGAAGGCCAAGGCTTTATCCGCTGAGCAAACCGGCCAGGGCGACATCAGTAATGCTGACACTGGCTGACTCTCTTCTCCTAACCACCCCGTCCTGTGCCCGGGGCCAGCCCTAGGGACTCCAGGCTTCATCTGTTTAGCATCTCCAGCACACGGCAGATTGAATAACAGCATTATTTTTTAATATCTTTTTATTGATTTCAGAGAGGAAGGGAGAGGGAGAGAGAGATAGAAACATCAATGAGGAGAGAGAATCATGAATCGGCTGCCTCCTGCGCGTCCCCCACTGGGGATCGAGCCCCCAACCCGGGCCTGTGCCCTGACCGGGAATCGAACTGTGACCTCCTGGTTCATAGGTCGATGCTCAACCGCTGAGCCATGCTGGCCGGGCGCCATGGTTTTTCTTATCTCACTTCTCTTATTTCCCTTTGTTATTTTCTCACTTTCTACCACAGTTGAGTTGGATGCTGAGTTCACTGATGCCCCTTCTTTCTTTTGGTAACGGATTGAAGGCTACGGACTTCCTTCCACACGCAGCTTCAGAGACACCTCACTCACAGCGTTTTCCTGTTTCGTACTGTGGGCAGCATTACAGCTATCTCCCCAATGTCTTCCTAAATGAAACCAACCAGAGCAGTTAGGACGAACGTTGAGGAATATCATCCCGGAAGTCCCCGGGTTTCTGGTTTGATCCTTTAAAAGTCAGTGCTACCTGGCAGTCTCCAGGAGAACGTTTCTCTCTTCTGGGGACCTGGAAAGGGTCCGTTTCATCGGCACCGTGACCTGGCCCCGGGGGCACCTTGGTGCAGCGGCTGTGGTCTGACCCACGTCTTCCCTCCGCGCAGGCCATGCTGAAGACCAACCGGGGCACCGTTGGGGGCTTCTTCCTGGCTGGCCGGGACATGGTCTGGTGGCCGGTGAGTGGGCAGAGCTTCCGGGAGATGAAGTGTGTGTGTGTGTGTGTGTGTGTGTGTGTGTGTGTGTGTGTGTGTGTAAGAGTAAAGAAAACATTGGGTGTGCTCATCTTTTGTTGTTTTTTTTCAGAGAGGGAGGGAGAAGAAGGAGAGAGAGAGAAGGAGAGGGAGAGGGAGAGGGAGAGAAACATCAATGGTGAGAGAGAATCATTGATCAGCTGCCTCCTGCACGCCCCCTACTGGAGATCAAGCCCACAACCCGGGCATGTGTCTTGACTGGCGGAAATCGAACCGTGACCTCCTGGTTCATAGGTTGATGCTCAACCACTGGGCCACGCCCGCTGGGCTAGTTTTCTTGTTAACCATTCAAAAACGGAAGAAATACCTTTGGCGCACCAACCCTACGGACACCGGGTTCAGCCCACGGGCTGTGGTGTGCGGGCTCCTGGCCTCAGGGGTAGCCATGGGAACACCGCCACGTGTCCCTGCGGTTCGGAAGCCTGATTGGAGTCTGTTAACTCTGACCCGCGTCTGTGCTCTCGGATTCCAGATGGGCGCCTCCCTCTTCGCCAGCAACATCGGCAGCGGCCACTTCGTGGGGCTGGCGGGCACCGGGGCGGCTTCGGGCATCGCCACCGCAGTCTTTGAGTGGAATGTAAGTGACATCATGGGCGATGACAGTCAGGGAGGACTTGCCGCAGACTCCGAGGCCGTGAGACGACACGGCCCCCAGGCCAGGCCTCTCTGACGCCACCCTCCCTGCTTGGCTTCCTGCAGGCCCTGGTGCTGTTGCTGGTGCTCGGCTGGTTCTTTGTCCCCATATACATCAAGGCAGGGGTGAGTACCCGCGGGGCTGTGGGCACGCCTGGTCGGCATCCATTTACACGCTCATTCTCCCTGCTCAGCCGGGAGACCTGGCTGAGACCGTTTGTCCCTGGTCTCTGGATTTACAATGACCCAGAGCCACTGCCTGCTGCCGGGCTGCTCCTGCGAACGGCTCGGCCACCTGCTCCCAGGCCTTCCCTGCCGTGAGGGCTCCCACTCGCCCACGTCCTCCCCAACTCGGGGCATTTTCCTGCCTCCTGATCCGTGCTATTCTGACACTTGTAAAGGAGTTTCATTTGTGATGAAGGGTAGGATGTACCGCAGCCGTGGTGGCTTCCCTTCCGCCTGCTCTGTCTCTCTGGGCCTTTTTATGGTTTTTTTTTTAACATATTTTTATTGACTTCAGAGAGGAAGGGAGAGGGAGAGAGAGAGAGAAACATCAATGATGAGAGAGAACCATGGATCGGCTGCCTCCTGCACGCCCCACACTGGGGATCCAGCCCACAACCCGGGCCTGTGCCCTGACCGGGAATCAAACCGGTGACCTCCTGGTTCCTGGGTCGATGCTCAACCGCTGAGCTGCACCCGGCTAGGCTGCAAGTAATGTTTTAACTAGACTGTCACATGACAGTGTGAAAATCATAAAAATTATCCATCGAGCGTTTGCCGTGCATTTGGCGATGGCGCGGGAATTTTACATCTACCGTCCCATGAAAACCCTACTTTACAGATGAGAAGCGTGGAGTCCAGGGAGAGGGTCACTCGCTAAATGTTACATTTCTAGTCAGTGTGGGCGCTGCGAGCCCGTCCCAAGGTTGTCCGATCCCAGCGCCCGTGTCCACCCGGCTTTGCTGCTTTCCCGAGAGACGATGCCTCCCTCCCCTCGGTTTCCCGAGGCGCCACCGGCCTGCCCGCCCGCGTGCTCGGTGAGTGCGGAGGGACCGAATGAGCTGGGCCAGTGAGCCCTGCCTGTCTCCGCAGGTGATGACCATGCCCGAGTACCTCAAGAAGCGCTTCGGGGGGAAGCGGCTCCAGATCTACCTCTCCGTCCTCTCCCTCTTCATCTGCGTGGCTTTGAGGATCTCGGTGAGTCCGTGCTCCTGGCGTGTTAAGCTTTGCAAGACCGCTTTTAAATTATATATCCTTGTATTGCTTTCTGAGAGGAAGGGAGAGGGAGAGAGAGAGAAACAACAATGATGAGAGAGAATCATGGATCAGCTGCCTCCTGCACGCCCCACCTTGGGGGTCGAACCCGCAGCCCAAGCCTGCGCCCTTGACCAGGAATCGAACCGGCAGCCTCTAAGTATATGGGATGGCACCCAACCAACTGCACCACACCAGCCAGGGCCCTTGATTTTTATTTTTTTTTAATCTAAAGCTGCCCCTACACAATATACTTCACAAATATGTGTTAAAAGAACTCTAAAGTTGTTGTTGGTGGTGGTGTGTGTGTGTGTGTGTGTGTGTGTGTGGTTTTTTTAAATTAAATTCCTTGGAGATAATCACCGAGGAAAGCAGAGAGGAGTTTGAAGAGTCAGCAGCACGTGTAGAAAACAAAGACAGAGTAACGGCTTGCTGCTGGCACATCAGTGACTCATGAGGTTATGGCCCGGGGTGCAGAGTCTGGGCCGCTCCTGAGGGAGGAAGCTGACTCCCCGATCGCTCTGCTGTTGAGCGGAGTCGGGGCTGGAAGTGAGCCAGCTGCTCCGATGAGGGGCTGAGCCCGCCAGGTGCAGCGTGAGCATCTCCCAGCGCTTCCTGTGCATGTGGCGCTCCGAGCCCGGGGGAGCGAGGATCCCTGTGCGCTAGGAGTTCACCACATGGTTAAGGAGTTAAGAATTTAACCAGAGCCTGAGCCAGTGTGGCTCATCAGCCCGTGGACCACAGGGTTCCAGGTTCAAATCCAGTCAAGGGCACGTACCTCAGTTGCAGGCTCCTTCCCTGGCTCCGGTTGGGGCATGTACAGGAGGCAACCAATCGATGTGTGTGTCTCTCTCTGTGTCTCTCCCCCTCCCTTCTGCTCTCTCCTAAAAAATCAATACAAAGCCCTAGCCGGTTTGGCTCAGTGCATAGAACATCAGCCTTCAGCTTGAAGGGTCCCGCATTCGATCCCCAGTCAGGGCACATGCCTGGGTTGCAGGCTCGATCCCCAATAGGGGGCATGCAGGAGACAGCTAATCAATGATTCTCTCTCATCATTGATGTTTCTCTCTCTCTCTCCCTCTCTAAAATAAATAAAAAAATATTTTAAAAATAAAATAAAAATTAATAGAAAAATATCCTTTGGTGGGGATTAACATAAAAAACGCACTTAAATAAAAACAATTTAACTATAAGATTGTTAGTACTTTATGATAATAGCTGCAGATATACTCAGCGTGAGCTTGAGTGGAGTGTGTGGACAAGCACGGAAGGCATGCTGTGGATGCCCAGGAAAGCGGGTGGGAATGGAAGTCATCTGCATGGGGTGCTGGGGGATTACACAACCCCCAGGCCAGGAAAGAGGAGGGGCCAAGGGAAGCGAGGGGCTCGCCATGTTCCCCAGTGGGCGGGGCTCAGTGACCTCCCAGGCCTCCCCTGGCTCTGACCTCTACAGCTTTGACATCCTCCAGGGCATGAACCAGGCGCTGTGCAGAATGCGAGTGGCCGAAGGGGCCCACGGGATGCAGCCTCCGGTGGCAGAAGGATCCCGGTTGGGGGGCAGGGGCGAGATGGAATGATGGGAGCTGACTGGAGGAGCAGGAAGGTCAGGGGCATGTGTGTGACTGACTGTGCAGGGTCTGTGGTTGGCTGAGAAGGTACAGTAGCAGGAGTCCATCCTTACCTACAAGGTCGTGTTTTAAGTGCTATTAATAATGATTAATCTTACGCACAACCTTCTGTGCACTCTTGCTATTACACTCTGATAACAGATTGGGTCCTGGTTACTGGTTAAACCGATCACGATGAGGAGTGAGGACAGGACAGCCTCCCCAGTCCTCCTGCCCCAGGTTTCATTTCAAATCTTAGGGAGGAAAACATCTCCCATCTCCTGTGACACCCCTTCCGAACCCAGGTTCTCCAAAGGAATCTGCCTCTATTGCTTCAGATCCTGAATCCTGCCCCCGTATCCCTTCCCCTCACCTCACTCGAAACCAAAACATAACAAAAACATGGGAAATGGCATGTAAGCATGTTAGTTAGAAACACAGAAGAAACATCCCTAGGTGCAGGCACAGAGTAAGTGGGAAACTGGATTTTGCCAGGGTTGGAGTTGGGCTAGGGGAGTTCAATGGAAGGAGAGATAGGCAAAGAGATTGAAGCTAAGGGCCCGGACAATGTGGCTCAGTGGTTGAGTGTCGACCTATGGACCAGGAGGTCATGGTTCGGTTCCCGGACAAGGCCCATGCCCTGGTTGCAGGCTCAATCCCCAGTGTGGGGCATGCAGGAGGCAGCCAATCAGTGATTCTCTCTCATCGTTGATGCTTCTATCTCTCTCCTTCTCCCTTCCTCTCTGAGATCAATAAAAATAAACTTTAAAAAAAAAAGAGAGGGATTGAAGCTATGGGCTGATGGCCCTGCCTGTCTCATTATAGTCAGACATATTCTCCGGAGCCATATTCATCAAGCTGGCCCTGGGGCTGGACCTCTACCTGGCGATCTTCATCCTCTTGGCTATCACCGCCATCTACACGATCACTGGTGAGTCCACTGCGTGCTTAGCTCGGCCATGCTACCTTCTGCTCGTGTCACCTGAGCGTTAGCCTTGTCGCTGCCAAGGTAAGGCTCTCCCTTTATTCCGCTCAGAGTCAGGCGCAGCCTAGAAACACAGCCAGAGCACAGGAAAGCGGGCCCTGTATCAGTTATGATCACCTTGATCCAGGATAACGATGTGATGGGTGGGACAGGGAGACGCTATTTGGGCTCAACGATGCGTTGCGTATCCAGACTGGCATCTGGAATTCAGTGTGTCACACCCACGGGAGGCCAGGATGGCACGGCAGCTCAGACATGAGACGGGCAAACCCACGGCAGGGCCCAGATGAATACCTGAGCATGATGGGGGCCCTGAGAGGCAGCATCAGAAAAGGGGGGCTGGAGCGGAGGGTTGATTGTGGGGAGAAGGTATGTGGCGGCAATCCACACAGGTTTCCATGAACCAGACACATTGGTGGGGTGTCTCACGCACACCAGCTGACGCACAGTAAACTCGCCCAGCTCCGCTGGAAAAAAATAAAGAAGAGATCAAAGCTGCACAAGCAAGACAGTTCCGGAACCACGTTATGCCATGAGCGCGTGTTTCAGAGTCAGTGAGAGGTGAGGGCCTGGATCCCCTGTTTGCAGGCTCCATCTTGTTTCCCCGAGACCCTCTCATAAAAGAAATGTTGGATTCTCCTTTCTGACTCTGACTTGGTGGCTAAGCGCCCAGGGAGTCTAGAGTTGAAAGAGATGTTGTTATTGGTGGTGGTGGTTATACGACATTGCCGCAAAACGTGGGTCAACAGTAATATACGGTATTCCACTAATGAAACAATGATATGTTCCAACGCTCGAACAGAAATGGCTTCGCCCAGTTCTTTAGAGCAGGTATCCTGTGCTAAATAGCGCAAACTGAGGGGTTGTTATGGGAGATTTTCATGATATTAAAATCTGGCCTTTCCCCCTACTTAATATTCAAAAGCGCACACAAAGGTAGAACTCTACCATAATTGATAGCAACGTTGAGTGGAGGCAAGGCAAGGAAGACAGGAGCACCAATGAGACACGTACCTTCCAAGGAGATGATGATGATGCCACCAGGAGCTTCCGATCTGTTTTCTGCTGAGTCACTTCAGGGGTTTGGGTAGAAGAGAACCTAAAGGCGAAGGCAAGTAGGGGAGGGCACCTGAGTCAAACACCCTGGCTCTTTTCTTCTCTCCACAGGCGGCTTGGCCTCGGTTATTTACACCGACACCCTCCAGACCATCATCATGCTGATCGGCTCGTTCATCCTCATGGGGTTTGGTAAGTGATGGCCGTGTGAACGGGGCCGTGGGGGTGGAAGTCAAGGGACTGTGGATCCGAGAGAAGGGTCCTGAGAACACGACCAGGCCGATGGGAGGTGCCGGAGTGCCTCCCACCACGGAGGGGTCGTTAGGGAAATGGGTGTCTCACGTTTCTGGGGAACACTGCCTTGTATCCGATGCCGTTGCAGCATTTGCCGAAGTCGGAGGCTATGAGAGTTTTACGGAGAAGTATATGAACGCCATCCCGTCCATAGTCGAAGGGGACAACCTGACAATTAGCCCCGCGTGCTACACTCCTCGGCCAGACTCCTTCCACATTTTCCGAGATGCTGTCACCGGGGACATTCCGTGGCCGGGAATGATCATAGGAATGACCATCGTGGCTGCGTGGTACTGGTGCACAGATCAGGTAAAGCGTGTGCGTGTGTGTGTGTGACTGAGTGTGTATATGACTGAGTGTGTGTGACTGTATATGTGACTGAGTGTGTATGCGTGTGTGTGTGTGCATGTGTGTGTGTGCGTGAGTGTATGTGTGAATACCTTTATGCTGTTCTTTTTCTTCTTCTAGAAAATCATCTAGTTTCACCATTTAAAAAGTCAAACACTTCGCCCTAGCCGGTTTGGCTCAGTGGATAGAGCGTCAGCCTGCGGACTGAAGGGTCCCGGGTTCGGTTCCGGGTCAGGGTACATGCCCGGGTTGCAGGCTCGATTCCCAGTAGGGGGCGTGCAGGAGGCAGCTGATCCATGATTCTCTCTCATCATTGATGTTTCCATCTCTCTCTCCCTCTCCCTTCCTCTCTGTCGTCAATATCAATATACTTTTTTACAAAAAGAAAGAAAGAACCCTATTTACAGATGAGAAACCTGAAACTCACAGAAGTCAAATGCTCATGTGGGAGGAGCGGGGATCCAAATCCGGATTTTCCTCCGAAGCTCATTCTTCTCTCGTCACCGTCCCACTTCTCATTGGCACGCTAGTCCCTGAAGAGGCGCTCCCCTCCCGTATGTGTCCTCCGGCTGTCCCATGACGAGGCGTGTTCTCCCGGCAGGTCATCGTGCAGCGCTGCCTCTCCGGCAAGGACATGTCCCACGTGAAGGCCGCCTGCATCATGTGTGGGTACCTGAAGCTGCTGCCCATGTTCCTCATGGTGATGCCAGGAATGATCAGCCGCATCCTGTACACAGGCAAGTCCGGAGCCATAAGCTCCCACCATTTATGCTTGAATTATGAATCGTGGTTTTAAGATGTTTTAAGGCAGCTAAGAGTAACTGCTAATGTTGAAAATCTCCCTTAAAAATCTTTATTATGCCCTCGCCAATGTGGCTCAGTGGATAGAGCATTGGCCTGCAGACCAAAGGGTCCGGGTTTGATCCTGGTCAAGGGCATTGCAGGCTCCTCCCCAGCCTGGGCCCTGGTCGGGGCACGTGCAGGGAGGCAACCCATCGATGTGTTTCTCTCACATCGATGTTTCTCTCTGTCTTTCCCTCTCTCTTCTACTCTCTCTAAAAAAATCAATGGAAAAATACCCTCAGGTGAGGATTAACAAAAATAAATAAATAAAAATAAACTGACATTTTTTCTTTTGTTAAAAAATGTATTGTGAGGAGTGAAGGAAACACAGAATATTTCTTGCCTAATCCGAGACCGCTGGTGTTTATTAGGACAATCCATCAGATAGCACTAACCTCATTTCATGTTTTCACAACTGGGCCTGGAGAAAACGTGTTTATTTTCCTGAAAACCTGTTAAGAGGAGAATCAAGTGAGCAACATTCCTGCTTATTGCAACATTCTGGTGTTGTCTACAGCAATAAAGAACGGATAGATATCCAGGGAGTAGCCAAAGACAGGATTGTTCACTATCTCAAATCTTGGGGCAATACTGACATCATCATGTTGGATGTAAACAGCAGACTATAAAATATCACCGCAACAATGACCGTAGTTGTGCCATAAACACATTTCTTTCCGGAAAAGGATTAGAAAGGAATAATAAACTAAGAGAAGCCCTTGTACGAAGGTGTTAGAATTCTGGGTGGCTTTTTATATACCGTTTTTCTATCTGTTTTCATAATGTCATTTTAGCTAAAATATCAGCAAGGTATTGTGCAACTGCCACAATGAGTGAGGCATCATCCCACAGCGGCAGTCACCCCAACATCACACGTGGCACCTCTTCTTAGATGTGGGAGAAAGACGCTGGCGGAATGATTGCACACAGGACCAGCTGCCTGAGTGCTGTGTTGCTGCTGTTTGATCTGTGGAGTTCTGTGCTCCTGGGAGGACGTATGCTCTTGCAGCTTTTCTGGAGGGGGAATCGCTCCCTCTAATGCTCTAATGCTCTAGCTGGGCCACATCCCAAGGCGGAGCCTGCACCACAGGCCAGTGCCAGGAGAGCTACAGCTGTGACACTTGGAAAGGTGCATTCTAGCCAAAGAGGAAGCAGATCAATTGCCTGCAGTTCAAAGTTGAGCCTCAATTTCCAGGCAAACGTCTTTCCTCTAACTCATGACCTTCCCACTTGTCTCTGCGGCCAATGGTTGTAGGTCTTACCTGTTTGGGCCCCACTCACTGAACACTTATCTGAATTCCTCTTCAGAGAAGGTGGCCTGTGTTGTCCCCTCTGAGTGTGTGAAACACTGTGGCACTGAAGTCGGCTGCACTAATTATGCCTACCCAATGCTGGTGATGGAACTGATGCCTGACGGTAAGAAAATGTCCTGCTCAGGTAAATGGGTAAAGAAAGTGTGATGGGCCCTGGCTGGTGTTTCTCAATGGTTAGAGCATCGGCCTATGAACCAGAGGGTCTCAGGTTTGAGTCCCAGTTTAGGGCCCGTACCTGGGTTGCAGGTTCCATCCCCGCCCCCAGTCACTGCTCCCAGTGAGTGTGGGAGGCAACCAATCGATGTATCCCTCTCAAAGACAAATACTGCATGATGTCACTTATATGTGGAATCTAAAGAAACAGAGAAGTAGAATGGTGGTTGCCAGGGGATGGGGAATGGGGAAATAGGAATATATTGGTCAAAGGGTACACATGTTCAGTTATAATATGGGTAAGTTCTGGAGACCACAGCATAAAGACTGCAGTTAATAATAATGTCTTGTGTACTTAAAATTTATTAAGAAAATAGATCTCAAGTATTCTCACAACAAAACAAGGTATTAGTTACTATGTGATGTGATGACTGGGTTAATTAGCTTGATTGTGGTAACCATTCACATGATGTATCTATCAAAACATCATGTCGTACACCTTAAATACATGCAATTTTTACTTGTCAATAATTCTGAGAATCACCAGGAAATATGCAGAAAATGCTAGACGATGGCATGTATCCATGGGCACATCAGTTAGTAAACAGTCTGTATGACATTTTACCTTTGAATGGCCCTCTGGTTGGCAAGTGATCACAGCTCATGGCGTCCAGTTCCTAACTCGTGGTTGCCTCCTCTTCCGGCCGCAGGGCTGCGAGGCCTGATGCTGTCAGTCATGTTGGCATCTCTCATGAGCTCCCTGACCTCCATCTTCAACAGCGCCAGCACCCTCTTCACCATGGACCTCTACACGAAGATCCGGAAGCAGGCCTCGGAGAGGGAGCTCCTGATCGCTGGGAGGTGAGAGAACCCTGGTTTCTGTCTTAAATTTCTCTGCAAAGGTAGAGACATCGAAGTGAAATAGAGCCTCCTCATTTGGGGATTCAGAGAAACTACTCATAGAGTTCTGAAGTGGGAAAAGGACCATTAGAGGATATTTAACCCAACTCTATCTCTTTCTAGATACGAAATTTGGGGCCATACGTACCAAGGAAATAGTTTCTTTTGTTCTTTTTTTAAAAAATATATTTTATTGATTTTTTACAGAGAGGAAGGGAGAGGGATAGAGAGTTAAAAACATCGATGAGAGAGAAACATCGATCAGCTGCCTCCTGCACACCTCCTACTGGGGATGTGCCCGCAAACAAGGTACATGCCCTTGACCGGAATTGAACCTGGGACCCTTCAGTCCACAGGCCGACGCTCTATCCACTGGGCCAAACCGGTTAGGGCAAGGAAATAGTTTCTTTTTCAGATTTCCAAATGCCTTTGATTGTCTCTTTATTCCTCCTGTCACACCCGCTCCCAACCACATCTTCGTGAAATCCCATCAATGTCTTTCATGGGGCCTAAAGTTTCCATCTACTCTCACAGGTTAAGGCATCATCTCTAGAAGTTTCCATGCATATCACAGGCAGGAAGTAACAGATGAGGGACCTCCACACACTACCACAGATGAGTTTACCAACTGCGTTCATTAAAAATGGGGCGTCAAGAGAAACTAACCACCTCTTTAAAAGACGGTGCGTTGCTGAAGATAGTAATAATCGCTTTGGTAAATGAAGCACTTGGAGAAATTCCGAGGGCTCGGTTGGTCCAGATCGTGACTCTAAATAAACGCTACAGGAGAGGAAGACCATAGGCCTCTGTATTTCTGTGGTAGAAAGTGTTGGGCTAGAATTCAGTAGGTCCAAGATGCAGTAGTCCACGGATGGGTCAACGATCTTGGTTATGAGTCCCCTCTAAGTCTCAATGATCTGTTAATGAGTTTCTCTTTTCCTCTCTATCTTATTAAATGCCTACTATCTCCAGGAATACAAATATGAAAAAAATGGCATATATATGAAAAATAAGTTCATGCTTCATGGGATTTATGCCTTGGTGGGGAAGATAGATCATAAATATATTCTATATATGGTGACAAAAAATGCTAGGAAGATGCCCAGCCGGCATGGCTCAGTGGCTGAGCATCCACCTATGAACCAGGAGGTCACAGGTTTGATTCACAGTCAGGGCACATGCCCAGGTTGTGGGCTCGATCCCCAGTGGAGGGCGTGCAGGAGGCAGCCGATCAATGGTTCTCTCTCATCATTGATCTCTCTCTCTCTCTCTCCCTCTTCCTTCCTCTCTGAAATCAATAAAAATATATTTTAAAAAACGCTAGGAAGAAAATTAGAGCAGGATTAAAGGATGGGGACTAACTTAACACGGTGCTCAGGGGGTCCTCACGGAAGAAGTGCCTTTGAGCAGAGCCCTGGGGAGAGTGTGGGGGGACCCCGGAGGCTCAGTGCGGAGGAGCAGTCAGTGCTGCCTGCAGTCCTCCACAGTCACGTGTGGGGGGTGTGTGAGGACAGCAAGGGGTGAGGCTGGCCCGTGAGAGCGATAGGAAACAAAATCAGAAAGGTGGGGGTCGGGAGATCACGCAGGGCTATTCCGGCCATAAGAGGACTTTGGATTTTATTCTGCATGTGACAGCAAACAGCTGAAAACAGCTGAAGATAAGAGAGCACAGGACACACACCGTTTGCTTTCGGATGATGATGACAACGACGATAGGAGGTGTTATTTCTTGAATCTTTACTGTGTTCTGGACCCTGTGCTCGGACCGCCCGTGGTTTATCACGCTTAGTCATTGCAAGGTTGCAGAAGTTTTGTAGAGCTTAAGTGAGGCCCTGTGCCTCAGTCTCCCGCCCAAATGCTTGTCCCCGGTTCCCCCGACTCCCACCTTTCTGTTTCCGGTGAGCACAGACAAGCCATGGCCTTTTACAGAGAGTCCCGTAAATTATTATTATCTGTTTATTCATATCACAAGCACAGAAGAATATTGCAAAGTTTTAAAAAGTGAACCTATTTGGTTTTGCTCCTGACCCCCAGGAGCAAAACCGAATAGATTTTTGCTGCATCTCAATATTTTAACCAATTCCTTCTACCTGCCAAAGTACTCAAGCAGCAAAAACACACAAATTAGCATTTCTGGCCAGTTCATTCAGCATTCTGGGACAGAGGATATTTAAATCTAAAGCATCCTGACTCAGTTTCTCTCAGCTAGGAAAAAAGACCAAAATAGGAGTCTGCTTTCTGTGTCCTACAAATGATTACTTAGACCTAGTGCTGTGTGTTTCTTTTTCTAATTGCTATAGTGCATGAACTGCATTAGAGAATTATTAACCGAACCCTGACATTGGAACTGTTTTTATAAATGAATACTTAATCTCATCGTTGAAGCTATTATGACTGATTATAGGCTAGCAATTGCTTTATTGGCATTTTACTCACAGATCGTCCTACGCAATGGCCTGGCATGAGGTTTCAAGGAGCTTGAATTTCTTGGGCAGGGGAGAGGGTGGGGGAAATCAATGAATGGCCCCAAGAATGCATTCAAGAACTCAAGCACAGTGGACGTACCAGTGATGCTTCCGCTTAATCATCCCTTCCTTTTGTTTGCTTCCCAGGCTGTTCATCATCCTGTTAATTATCATCAGCATTTTGTGGGTCCCGCTGGTACAAGTGTCTCAAAACGGACAGCTGTTTCATTACATAGAATCCATCTCTAGCTACCTGGGGCCGCCCATCGCCGCTGTCTTCCTGCTCGCCATCTTCTGCAAGCGAGTCAATGAACAGGTGAGTGGAAGTGCAGGGACTTCTTTTCCTGCTGGAGTAGGGGGAAATGTCTTTCTCTCGCTGGGAGGAAAATGCATCCTTTCCACCCAATTCATACAACTCAAGGCCCGTCAACTCTGCAAATTGTATCACATAAATCAGAGTTCTGTTCATGCTACAAAATCAGTCACAAGTGTTTGAATCTATGTACAACAGAAAAGTCACGGTAAACTTAAACTTGGGTCAAAGTAAACTGTACAAGTTTCCCCTGTTATCCGTAAGCTGAAATGGCATAAAGTGAAGAGGCATGTACCCTTGATTTATACGGAAATTTTTTGAGAATTTCAGACCCCCCAAAAATATCCTCTCTTATGCTTTTTTAAAAAGCTTTATATATATAATTGATTTCAGAGAGAAAGGGAGTGGGAGAGAGAAAAACATCAATGATGAAAGAGAATCATTGATCAGCTGCCTCCCTACTGGAGATCGAGTCCACAACCCGGGCCTGTGCCCCTGAACAGAATCAAACCCAGGACCCTTCAGTCTGCAGGCCGACGCTCTATCCACTGACCCACACCAGCTAGGGGCCCTACCTCTCTTAGGCTTTTGATACATTAGGACACATCTTGCTAACGGACTCACAGAACACATCAAGATGAAGCAGAGATGCTCACAGGCACAGCACAAAGCTAGGCGGCCTGATGCTGAGCTGCTGGGTGTGGTTCTGGGGAAGGAGCTTGGCGGGGTCACTCTCATGGCTCCCCTGCATTTTGCCTCTTTTCGACTTCTTTTCATAAAAGTAAAAACCCTCTTGGAATTCCTTTCGTTCAGCGAAAACAGGTACCAAGCTAGGTCTTTGGCGAAAGCAAAGTGGCGTGTAACTCAAACTTCTGAAAGTGGGGCGTCCCTGTAGTGCCCCGAGTTGGAGAATGAACAGTGCCATCATGGTGTTTCAAGCCACGGAGGGAAACAGGCCACTAGCAACCACACGCATTGGCATCTTTCCCTGCTTCGGTGGCCTTGCCCTCAAGGTTAGCCATGGATTGGTTCTTTGTTGTTGTTGTTGTTAATCCTTATCCAAGGATACCTTTCCATTGATTTTTAGAGAGAGTGGAAAGGAGGGGGCGAGACAGAGAGAAACATCAATGTGAGAGAGACACATCAATTGGTGACCTCCGTAGGCACCCCAACCAGGGCTGGGGATCAAGCCCGGTACATGCCCTTGACTGGAATCGAACCCAGACCCTTCAATCCAGAGGCTGATGCTCTATCCACAGAGCCACACCAGCCAGGCCCTGTGTAGTGCTTAGTGAAGAAAGCAGGAAGGGTGGTAATTATGACCTCCTAGAACGAGCTTCTCCTCTCCTCTAAATCCCCTGGTTTTGTTCTTGCTTCTCGCGCAGGGAGCCTTCTGGGGTCTCATCGTCGGACTGCTGATCGGCCTGTTTCGTATGATTGCAGAGTTTGCCTACGGAACAGGGACCTGCCTGGCTGCCAGTAACTGTCCCAAAATCATCTGTGGCGTGCACTACCTGTACTTCGCCATGATTCTCTTTGCAGTTTCCATCGTGGTCATCCTGGGAGTTTCCCTGCTAACAAAACCCATTCCTGATGTGCATGTGAGTGAGGAGTCACAGCTATATGCTCCTTTTATTCCTTTAAATATATTTGTATTGATTTCTGAGAGGAAGAGAGGGAGAGAGAGAGAGGGAAAGAGAGAGAGGGAGAGAGAGAGAGAGAGAGAGAGAGAGAGAGAGAGAGAGAGAGAGACATCAATGATGAGAGAGAATCACTGATTGGCTGCCCCCTGCACACCCCATACTGGGGATGGAGCCCGCAACCCGGGTATGTGCCCTGACCGGGAATCGAACCCTGACCTTCTGGTTCATAGCTCGATGCTCAACCACTGAGCCACGCCAGCTGGGCCAGAAATAATGTAAAATAGTGTGCTTTGGTGAATGAGTGTAGTAGAAGACCTCTTCTTTGTTGTGTATGTCTTCCCACGCTGTGGGATTTTTTGCACTGTACAGTAAATGTGCTGTTATGTTATTGTAAACACTTGTTCATCACTCATGGGTCTGTCTGTGGTCTCTGGGCAGCTGTATCGCCTGTGCTGGGCTCTTCGGAACCGGACAGAGGAGCGAATCGATTTAGACGCAGAAGAGCAGAGACAGGAAGAAGCTGCTGATGATGCTGATGAAGGTAATGACTGGTTTGCCTTTGGTTTGAGAACTCTCTCTCTTGCTTTGAACTGTTGATTCATCGCTCTAGTGTGTTTACAGGGAGTTGTTTGTAGGATGTTCTCTAGTTCAAGAAACTCATTTCTACAAGGATATCACACCCTGTGTGATATAAGATGCAAATGTTTTCCCCAGCTTGGCACTTGTTTGACTGTTTATTGGGCTCTATGCTATGCAAAAGTTTTCTATTTTTCTTTTAATATGTTTTTATTGATTGCAGAGAGGAAGGGAGAGGGAGAGAGAGAAACATCAATGATGAGAGGGGATCATTGATCAGCTGCCTCCTGCAGGCCTCCTACTGGGGATCGAGCCTGCAACCTGGGCCTGTGCCCTGACCGAGAATCGAACGGCGACCTCCAGGTTCACAGGTCAACACTCAGCCACTGAGTCACGCTGGCCGGGCTCCATTTTTCTATAACTGGAGTTATGTGTTTTCGCAGGGATATTTCTCTAAGGCATAGAAGTAGTTGTCGTCATTCTTTGCCGTCATCCACACGACCTTGACGGGAGTCGGATTTCTCAAGCTTTGTGATCATTTGTTTATCTTTCTTTGGTTCAGATGAGCCCGGGGAAACGCCAGGGTGTTTCAGGAGAGCGTACGAGGCGTTCTGCGGTTTGCAGAAGAAAGGCCCCAAGCTGAGCAAAGAGGAGGAAGAAGCCCTGAGAAAGAAGCTGACAGACACGTCCGAGAAGCCCCTCTGGAGGACCGTGGTGAACGTCAACGCCATCCTGCTGCTGGCCGTGGCCGTCTTTGCTCACGGCTATTTCGCCTGAACCCCACCGGGGCCACTAGAGGATGTATGAAGCAGAGGACAGCATTGATCTTTCACCTGTAGAGTTTGTTGTGATGCAAAAGGGAGATACGCGGTTGCTAATTTTATCCAATAACTCTAGGCATGACTTTTAGCGTTTGCTGTTCCTTTGTGTCAGTGGAGAAAGAGTTGATCATTTAGAAAGCCGGTGAGCCGACTCCATATGTGTGTGTGTAAACTAGGAGAGTTTGGGAATAAATTATTTTTGTATGGAGCTCATCAGATAGATTGCCCTGTGTCAAACTTGCTTCCTGCTCTTTCCAGAGATTTCCACGTAGAAGGACCACCTCCCCCTACTCTGCCTCGCCTAGGACCCCCTCATCGGAAAAACAGCGACATTGTCTCCCCGAATTCACCTCGCTGATCTCAGGGGCTTGAAAAATAGGAATGGTTCCAAGTAGTTGAGGGGAAGAGAGCTGGACATGCCCGTGGTGACTATTTTTATGAACTTTTTAGAAATTATTCGTTTCTGCCTTCAATAAACTCATCCCCCACTAAAGTTTAGCATATCGAGCCATTGATTGTCTTAAACCACTTTATTAAAATATAACTCACATATCATAAACTGTATCTGTTTCAAGTGTACAGTTCAAACAGACTCAGGCACATAAAACAGACTGACAGCAGTCAGAGGGGAGGGGGTTGCGGGGCTGGGTGAAAAAAAGGTGAAAGGTTACGCAAAAACAATATATATATGTATATATGTGTATATATATACGCACACACATACATATAACACATAGACACAGACAACAGTGTGGTGATAGCCAGAGGGAAAGGGGGAGGGTAGAGGGAGGGAGGGGTAAGGGGGAGGTGGGGAGGTGGAGGTAGGCAAAGGGGGGATAAATGGGGACGGAAAGAGACTTCCTTTGGGGTGATAAGCACACAGTGCAGTGGGGGCAGATGATGTTTTCTTGAGCTGCACACTTGAAACCTGTATGGTTTTATTCACCGATGTCACCCAATAAATTCCATTAAAAGATAAATAATAGAGTGTACAGTTCTGTGTATTTTAGAATTGTCACAGTTGCCCCCCACCCCAGATCAGCAGCTTCAAAACGGTCTGGGAGCTCGATAGAAATGCAAATTCCCAGGCCCTCCTCCAGACCAAGTGATTTGAAAACTCTAAGGCTGCGTCCCAGCAGCCTGTGTTGTAGTAGCGCTATGGCTCGAAAACCACTGCGCTAAGCTCTTTGATTCTGAAATGCGTGTGAACGGGCTGCCAGCCTTCATGTGTAAAGTGGTCCCTTTATCAGGTGAACATTTGCCACCAGTTCTCCAAGCCTGGGATGAATTGCATCAAATTACTTGTTCTTGGAGTTGCTCTTAAGACTACAAAACTGTCTGGGGCCCGGCCGGGGTGGCTCAGTGATTGAGCACCAACCCAGGAACCAAGAGGTCATGGTTCAATTCCTGGTCAGGGGGGTTGCAGGCTCGATCCCCCATAGGGGTGTGTAGGAGGCAGCCAATCGATGATCTTTCTCTCTCATTGGTGTTTCTATCTCTTTATCCCTCTCCCTTCCTCTCTCTCCCCAAAAATCAATTAAACAAGAAAACAAAAACAAAAAAAAGGGCTGGGTCAGGCTAAACAGCACTCACCTGCACCCTCCAGAACCAGTCAAACATGTTGAGAGTCATCCATAGTTCAAGAAGCTTATGTTGCCTGACAGGGCATGACTTTTTCAGCTCTATAAACTGAGCATTAATAAGCAATCACAGCCCTGACTGGTTTGGCTCAGTGGATAGAGCGTTAGCCTGCGGACTGAAAGGTCCCAGGTTTGATTCCGTCAAGGGCATATACCTTGGTTGCAGGCACATCCCCAATAGGAGGTGTGCAGGAGACAGCTGATCGATGTTTCTCTCCCATCGATGTTTCTAACTCTCTATCCCTCTCCCTTCCTCTCTGTTAAAAAAAATAAAAATCAGTAAAATATATTTTTTAAAAAAATAAGCAATCACACCCTAGCCGGCTTGGCTCAGTGGATAGAGCATCAGCCCTCAGACTGAAGAGTCCTGGGTTCAATTCCAGTCAAGGGCACATGCTCGAGTTGCGGGCTCAGTCCTCAGTAGGGGTGTGCAGGAGGCAGCCGATCCATGATTCTCTCTCATCATTGATGTTTCTATCTCTCTCTTCTTCTCTGAAATTATATATATATGGAAAAATATCCTCCGGTGAAAATTTAAAAATAATAAATAAATAAATAAATAAATGAGCAATCACTCTGCCCCATAGCCCATTTTCAGTCTGAAGAAAATAGCTCTTCCCTGCACCCTGAGATTATTCCAGTCCAGTTTATCACTTATTGGTCCTTGGGCACCCCAGTGGCTCAGTCTGTTCCCACAGGACATGGTGCGGCGAAGGTAGAGGGACTCCCCTCGCGTTTACTGGAGACTGTGAAATAGAAGTCCTTCCCGAACTTGCCTACCTTTTGTTCAAGTTGCTCTATTCTGTTCTCGGTGGCCTCGGTGCCTGCTTCCTAATCTATATCTCACCCCAACCACAGCTCCCCACAGACACGGTTGGTATTTGTCTAGAACAGGGGTGGGCAAACTTTTTGACTCGAGGGCCACAATGGGTTCTTAAACTGGACCGGAGGGCCGGAACAAAAGCATGGATGGAGTGTTTGTGTGAACTAATATAAATTCAAAGGAAGCATCATTACATAAAAGGGTACGGTCTTTTTTTTTTTTTTTTTTTTAGTTTTATTCATTTCAAACGGGCCGGATCCGGCCCGCGGGCCGTAGTTTGCCCACGGCTGGTCTAGAACCTCTAGAGAACAGGAAACCTGGAAGTCATGGTTTTGGGTGTGTTTATTTTTATCAAAGTAATACATTTTCATTAGGGGACCAAATGCGGTTTAATAGGACACGCGTACGGCATCTCTCCTGGATGTATCTCCCATTCCCGTTTCCACGCGACCGCGTCGCACCCAGAGGAGGTAGGTAGATACTATAAGCACCAAGGTTCCTGTTTTTCCAAAGAGAAAAAAATACACAGTCGAAACAAAATAATTTATCACAACAGACACGACGAATCATTCGCAAAGCCAGACTCGGGATCCAAGACAATCGAGCTGCTCCGTGCCCACGCCGTCCGCCAGCCGTCGACCCTGGCCCTGT